GCCCCTATTGACATTGTTGCGGACAGCTTTTCCATAATATTTCTTAAGTTTTTCGCCACTGAGTCGTACTGTTTTCACTCAGCGATGGTCAGCGGTCACGTTTACGAGGTAAACATGGCGACCGCTTCCTGATCACTGTTCTTGTCGATCAGAAAATCAAAATACCAGCGTGATAATACCTCAGAGATGAAACAGTTATATCATTTGATTCGTACTTCACATTCGGATCGAAGCTTGGGTGACACAGGTTATTTCTTACGGTGGAATCGACGAGGGAAATTCGAACACTAGTTGTAGTGTCTGAATTGTTGGAAGAAATGGTCGCATGGGGATGTAGGACTGGTAAGTTTGACGAACAATTTCAAATTTTGCCGCTTGAATTGAAAGTAAAGCTCATTTGAATTGTTTTCGTTTGAGATTCTGACGATTTTACATCTACCTGCTAGATTTATACCTGCTACGCTTCATGTTGACCAGTCCCTCAAAATGGTGGCCAAACTTGGAGGTTGCCGAAAATTAGGTAAGTTCACGGAGTTATAAAGTTTCCGTAAAGGTCGGGCGGTAAAGTTTTTTTCTGTAGTTACCTTTTCAATGGCACTTACTTCCTAGCTATGTTAGTTGGATCAATTAAGAACGTCTCACTATTTCAAAAATTTACCTTGAATTTGATCGGTTTTCGCGTGTGTTTGATTGATTGAAACGTGATGTTTACGAAAGTCGCGTCGATAGATAAGATAGAGTTAATATATATGTTTTTGGAAATTATTTTTTGCTGGGTTCCGTAGTTTTTTGTAAATTGTCCTCCAAAGTTGTCTCAAATTAAAGTCTTGAAAAGTGTTACGACAGACCTTCGCTCGAGGGAAGTTCAGTTTCCGTAAAACTCTGAAAAATAAAGAGATCCGATCAAACGGATTGTGGTTTTAGTGTAGGTACATGAGTGTCTTACAACACACAAGAAATCAGCGAAATCCGTGTCTCAAGCGAAATCGACCGGACCGCTCTTTGGAAGTTGGGTAAAGTTATATAATGATTGATTTTATGATTGAATTAATGTTCTGAAAACACTATTGGGCTCATTTTTAAAATTGTTTCGCATGCCAAACTAGCTTCCAGTGAAGAGATTGCTTTCATTCAACTGAAGAATTGGTTGTCTTTTCCGATTTTCTCAATGTAGAACCAGTAGATTGCTATTTTTTTTTTTATTTTAATGATTCCTTCCTCATGGCCTTTCATTTAATATAAAAGCTTTTTTAATCGACTCAAATTAATTTTGTATTTAGTGTGTTAATCACCATGTTCACATGCAGACAAATAGGCGCTTCTTGTACACACGAGATGATTGCGTTCTTCCGACACTTGAATCAAAATAGCTGGAAAAAATAATGAGTATACAATTGATGGCAATTGATCTCCTTAACATTACACATATAACATGTAGAACAATTTCTGTCTTCGATATGCCATGGCAGAACGACTCTTATAAGCTTTACACTTTGTATTTTTCTGCTATAATAATTTCAAAAGGGATGTGTCGATTATTAGAAAAGTTTTAATAGTATAAGGCTTGAATTCGTCGGGTTATTTTTCAAATATATATTGTATGTTTAACTCGTAGATGGAGTGGACAGAACAAAACAGATTTCATGTTGGTCAGAGAAATTTTATTGTGTGAATCCTTTAAATTTAAGGCTAGCTCTAAAGAGCGTGGTTCGGCATAGAGCCCTAAAGCGCAAAATCAAATGAAGCGATCATAAGAAACCTGTGGAAACCTTCGGTGCAAGCGCATTTTCCAATCACCAAAGAGAATATTATGGAGAAAATGGTGGATATGACAACGTTTTGGCAATTCCCTGCTGTTGGGGTGCTGTAGATGGGTGCCACATCCCCATCCAGTGCCCTCCTGGCGGTCTGAAAGCCTATAAAGAGTATCATAACTTTAAGAACTTTTATTAAATAGTATTGTTGGCCATCGTAGATGCACAGGATCGCTTCATCTGGGCAAGTGTTGGTTTTCCAGGAATCTGACTCTTCTTCTTCTTCTTCGCGAATACATGTTGTAAGATTCCTCTGACCATGGTCTTTGTCATCCACTTTGCTGTGACAATCTTTGACAAGCTTTTCTGTACAAGGAGCACACTTGAGACAATACCCAACACGTTTATTTGGTTGCCAGCTGATATTTACTACGTAAACTCGCGCGAGAAGTGCCCAAGAGGAGCTTTTGCGCATGCGGAATACTTGAAAAGCTCGCCACGGGTCGCTACGGGCTCGCCAAAATAAATTGAAATACATTAAGAAAGTGTATGCATTCATTCGACGCGACGCTTGTGCGACTTTAAAACTGAAAAGGCGTTATCGATATTTTATACGTCTTACCAAGACAGATAAAACGTCTGGGAAAAATTTAATTTACCAAACGGATTTAATTCGTTTTAGAAGTCGCGCTATTGTCGAATTTAATTGCTTGTGGGACCTTGAATTAAATTCGTCTAAATTAAATTCGACTGTAGCGCGACGCATAAACTAGGCCTAAGCGAATCGTTTGAAGTGCTTTTAAACATCAATTTGTCTCTGCTTTTCGTTTTTATGAACATTTGCTATTGATTTAAAAAAGTAGTATTATTGTTATACAATAAATATTTGTCAATTTTATGCAAAGAAGGTTTTAGATGCAGCCATGAGATGGCTGTTTGCAATAGATTCAATTTAAAATCAATAGAATTCTGCCCTTTTAAGCTTGCTTTGCCATCACAGTTATTCCTGTCGTATTTCATGAGACGTGAGCTTGAGATGCCTATGTGTATACTAGCTTACCTCTTATTGAAACTAATCTACTACAACTGGAGATTTGAAATTGATCCACTACAATTCGATTTAAGGTAATCAAAATATCTATGGGTAGTTCATTATAAGCAAATGCATGTAATTCCTTTTTTATGCCCTGTAGTTGAATTTTAGGAACTAATAGGGAAGTTTCATCTATCCTACTGTCGATTCAATGTCAGGCGATCACCACGATTTGTGTAAAAAATGGATATTGCATTAGTATGTGCAAAACAGTTAGAAGTTCTCAATAAGGTGATGATTTTTGCGGCAAAATTAAGAAATTCTATGGTTAACTTTCTCACGATCAACGGTCAAAATTTGTCAATTTTTACGCCTAAAAAACGACGGCTAAATAACTATTGGGTTTTTATCAGTCTCAAATGTAATATGTTATGAGTTTCCAAGGAATGCTGTCCAATTTCAAGAGACAATCAAGGAGCCAGCGACGAAAGCGAAGATTATTTGCAAGGAAGAACGAGAGTCGACCGTGGCGGAACGTTTTGCCAAGCAACAGGAATGGAAATGTGCCAATCGCAGCTGTTGTTAAACCAATGAATGACAGCGGACCATCCAGTTCTTTATAAGATGAAGTACAACCAGTGGACATCATCTTTGACTACATCAGGAGACAAACGATAAACTTAGCTGTCAGTGTTAGTCATCACGATGACTAACTATATAAGCTTTTCTCTTGAAAAAGAAAATGGATATGAAACATAAAACTAGACAAAGAAAGTCGTGACATCAAAGGAAGCAAACTGTAAATTTCACATTTTGTGGGATTATATTCTAACTTCAGAGGATGCACGACTGACCCATTTGGCAGCGGTAACTTCTTTGGATCTTTGAAGTGTAGGCGACAACAAGGAATTTTACAAGCGGAGAACGCGGTAGGAATGTCTTGTGATGTGTTTTGTATGTCT